AAGACTTCTTTTTCTGTTGAACAGCCATGATATTATTTATGATCTCAATTGACCCCATATGTAGACCTTAATTTCTTGACTCTGTATTCCACATGATTTAGCAGTGATTTTGGCAATATGAGTCTCTTAATTACTGTAGCTTTCTTAAAATAAAGGATGGACAGGAAATTGATGTAATTGATTTTACTCTGCTAAAAACCTGGATTGCAAGATTGATGTATTATTCTTCATCATGAATATGAATCAGTATTTTGGGGAAAAACTTGAGTGATGTTTTTGAACTTAAAATCAGTATACAGAGCTACTAGCAGGCAGCATGAAATTGGTGGGGTGATTTCACACATTTCTATCAGATATCATGGGAAAGGAATGACTAATAAAATCTAAGCAGTTATTGAGAAAATTCTACCAGGAATAGTGCAATTGCTTTATTTAGATCATTGCCTTTAATCTTCAAAGCATCAAAACTAAACTGTATTTTATCCCCCATTTATAAATGAGTAAATTGAATTCAAACAGGTCAGAACACAAACAATGTCCCATACATATTAAGAGCAAAATAGCTAGAATTTGGATATAAGTATACCTATTTAAATTTTTTTCCATGTTTCTTTTTGAGAGAGAGACACAGACAGACAGAGCATGAGCAGGGGAGAGACAGAGGGAGGGAGAGACACAGAACTCAAAAAAGGCTCCGGGCTCCATGCTGTCAGCATAGAGGCCAGCAAAGGGTTAGAACTCACAGAGTGGGAGATCATGACCTGAACTGAAGTCAGAGGTTTAATCAAATGAGCCACCCAGGTGCCCTGGGGACTTAAGTATATTTAATTCAATCATCCAACATCACATTGCAGACTTACTTCTTGTAAGTACCAATTTTCACTGTGTGACTTTAATAAATTTGCATAAGTTCTTTGAGTTTCTTCAATTATGTAATGAGAATCATAATACTAACTAGTTAACAGGATTGTCATGGAGATTGCCACTAATTATTGCTGTGGGATGGCTTCTGAAAATATCTTGAAGAATTAAGAACTGGGTCCAAAAAATATCCTTGTCCATTTTGGTGATTGCTGTGCATTGAGCACTTTCAAAGACAGATATATACAAAATGGAAGAAATCTCAATAAATTGAATGAATTATATAAACGCAGAAAAAATTATATACATGATGCCACCCGTCAACTTATATACTTATCACTTGTACTAAGACAAAGACCTTGATACTCAGTAATTCTTCAAGGCTCTAGTTTATAAGAATATTCATTCTAGTTTGTGGAAAGTCACAACCATGTAGGAAAAAAGGTGAGTCCTGCATACCTGTCTAGGAAGTTTATCTCAAATTGTTCCTTCCCTCCCTCTCTTCCTGTTGATCAAAAGCAGATCTCCTAATGTCTACTACCAGAAGATTGGTGTCTACCAGAGCTATGACAAAAGTAGAGGCTTACATATTTTAGTCATTTCCTGCTGAAACCACTGTTTTCAGGTCACTGTTTTTTCTACCCATTAGCTAATTAAAAACAAAATGGTTTCTTAAAGTCAAATAGTTTTGACTGCAAATATTTGTTCTGTGTACAAAATTATTTTTACCTGTGTAAATCACTTCGTAAGGTACCAGTTGAAAGGTATCTCTTCTTCAGGGCACACACTCAATGAATATTTAGTATCAGCACAATTAGTATGTTTCCAAATTGTTTAATTACAAAAACTTTAAACAGGCACAAAACAAGCATTATAATGAGATTCCATCTACCCGCCACCGGACTGCAATAATTATCAACATTATACCATTCTTTTATCTTCCCTACTCGCAACCAGTATCTACCCCAATAATTATTGTTATTAATATTATCGTCATCATTATTATTATTTAGAGGGTTAGAAGTAAAATTGACATTCATGGAAGTGTGCAAATCTTAGCTGTACCATTTTGACAAATGAATACAACCATGTAGCTTACAATCTTAACATTCGTATGGCATTTCCATCTTCTGGCAAATGTTCTCATGTGGTTCCCCAGTCATTCGGTCACCTCCAAATCCATCAGAAGTAACCACTGTCACAATACACCCATTATAATAATAACACACACTCTTTAGTGTCCTGATTCTTTTCCACTCACAAATATGTATCCCTGAGTTGCATGTACTTGGAAACAAAAACCTCTCCAGGCACCATTCTGCCTATCCCTGGGGGGAAAAAAACAAAGGAATCAAGTATTTAAGGATTGAATAGTCAAATGATGTCCTCACCAGGAAAAATCTCATGGCTCATGCTTCCTTCTAAAGGCTTACATCAAAGTAATGACATTCTCTATATTCAGGGAGAAAGGTGAGGCTACTTTTCTTTCTCCATCTACTAAACCTTGTAGCTTATTCATAAGCAATAATAAACTATGGAAGTAGGAGTGTGTGAGGGTGTTGTAGCCACAGAAAGGCAGACCTTTCAAGGGGAAGAGCAGTGGGAACATGAGTATGACACTTTGCAGAGGCACCAAGTTCAACAAAGGCTAGCAGGCCAGAAACAGATACATGGGTTGTTGCAAATCAGGGTCAATCTGGATGATGGAAAGAATGATGCCATTTCCTAGGAAAACAATGATGTACACCAGGCAGAAAGGGATAGATATCCAGATGTGCTCTGCCTCTTCTCTGGAGTGCCAACAAGACTGAAGGTTGCAGGTGTGCACTCAGTGGAACCGTCGAAACTGTCATGGCGAGACTTCATTTGAAGATACA